TATATATATATATATACATACACATGCATTTATATACACACACAGGAGCTGATGTGATTTCAACAATGAATCATATCAATCAATTAATGATGTTTGCAAATAAGATTATACTGTAAGTGATGTCGTTTTGTCCGGTGCAGACGTGGCAAATTACTAAATATGCAAATAACCTGCACAATCATCTGGTACGTCTTAATCAATGAATCGCTGTGAATCAAACAGCTGATGTGAGACAGACTCCATGACTCCTGAATTAAACATCAGACTCGTTTAGGGTAATTAAACAGGAGCGCATGACACTAGTGCTTACAGGTGCCACCTGCAGCTCCTGCATCGCTTATGTGTTCAACTATACAAGCTCACAGTAAAACACACAAACACTGGACACACTGGTTTTACTGTGTTATTACCAGTGATGGGGAAAGTTACTAGTAAAAAGTAATCTGGTTACTTGAAATGCATTACTGATCATTCCACTCATGGTGACCCATGCATCGCCCTTCATCATCATCATCTGCCTCCTCACACTAATGCTTGTGCTGGCGAGGCGCGTGTAAATACCCAGCATGCTCTCTGTTTGAGCAGCCTCTCACCAGCAGGATGGAGTTGAGCACGTGGTTGTTGAGTGGCGACTCCTCGGTGCGCCTGTGTCGCCGCATGCGTTTCCTCGCGCTGTGCACCATGCTGGAGACGGACAGCTTGTGGATGGGGACGGCTGCGGGCTCCGTCAGCTTGGACAGCGCTTGAGTGATGTCACTGTTCTCTAGGAAACAACACCAATCATCATTCATTTCTACAGCGCTTCACTACACAACACAGATTCACAGAGATAAACATCAATAAGAGAATCAGAGATCATATACGAGGCAAGCTGGGAAGCAGCCCTACAGGAAAGAAAGTCATTATTCAGATCAATTTCAGGAGGAATAAATGAATGAACAGACTGGATCCTGAAGGACGACATCGTTATTGAACTGAATCAACTCTGATCTGAATAATGACTCTATTGCCTTCTGTAGAGATGATTTACAGCTGAAACTGAGTTTGCGTCATAACTGATGAATTTTGCATCATTAACACTGCTATTTTCCTGTGTATCTCTGTGAAGCTGCTTTGAATCAATCTTTATTGTATAAAGCACAATAGAAATAAATCTGACTTGATTCAGAGCACACATGAAGCTTGATTCTAGTCCATATGGATCTGGAGTTATTGGCAAACATGTGCATCTGCTAATTTTAGTTAATTAAAGTTTAGTTTAATCCAAATTGATTTATTTTAGTGTCATAAGGATGCATGTGTGTGTCTGGGATTAGGAAGCATCCTATAAAGTTCGTTTGGGGTTTCTGTAACTTTCGGTCTCTGATGGAGAAGAAGCAGAAATCCAGAAAGATAGAAAATCAGAAGAAACAGCATTCAGACAGAAAACAAAACCAGAGAAAATGAGTCTCCAACAAGACGCTTAATGAGAACTTCAACTAGTCCAGACATTTGTGGTTAATTCATGTCTAAAACAAGCATTGAGAATGACCTTTCCCTTCCTCCTCGACCGGGTTCCTTCCCAGAATCTCCTCGGTGCTTTCCTTCCGGCAGCAAAGCTTGAAGAACTCCATGAGGAACTCACCTGAGGATCACGACAACAGATGATGCTCAATTACACTCATTCTGCTTGTGTGTGTGTGTGTGAGAGAGAGAGAGAGTGTGTGTGTGTGTGTGTGTGTGTGTGTGAGAGAGTGTGAGAGAGAGTGTGTGTGTGAGTGTGTGTGTTACCCAGCAAACACTGTGGATTGTCTGCTTTCCGCACTCGAACAGACCAGTGAGGAGCCTGAAGAGGATCCAGATCACTGCGAGAGCAGAAAAACCACACGATCAGACGCTGATCAGCAGAGCTGGAGTCACACAAGCATCCTTGAGCTTTTGAACCACATTTAAACATGTTTGTCTAAACGTATGTGAACGTTACGGCCTTCTAACGAGAGCGCTGAGCCCTGATGCCATCATGAACACCGCCAAACACGATGCTCTTCCTCAGTATTTCTGTCACGTTTCCACAAATAACTAAAGATTCTTAAATCAAGACACATTTACTGGAGAAGCACAACGACAGAAGATACAAAGTCTTGTTTTCGGCAAACTGTATCAAAATGAAGTGAGTTTGTTTAAAACAAGAACAAATATCTGCCAATGGGATCAGAAATATAAACTTGCTTTCCTTTTGATTTAAGATTATATTTCTGATCCCATTGGCAGATATTTGTTCCGCTTCTCAGGTTGTTTAGATATTTATACTGGAATAAGAAAAAAAAAGAAAAAAAAGAGAATGATTGTAAAACTGTACTCAAACCCTTTACGTGTGATGCATTATAAAGGTCAAGTCACCTTTATTTACACAGCGCTTTATAAAATACAGATGATAAACAGGAAAATAGTGTATCGATAATGCAAACATAATTCAATTCTGCTGTAAAGCAGCTCTAAAAAGAGGACAGTTGTAAACAGGTATTCATAAGGTAAAAGGTAAATAAAGGTATTCATAATGTACGTTGTAATGCATTATATTATTTTGTAAATAACTAACCAAAATTAAAATGCATTATAATATTTGAAGGTTTGTTAATCGTGTTTTACTTTCTAAAGGCGAAACAATGAACAGATAAGTATTATAATATATTGTACTGTGGTTATTCGCGAGATCAAGCAATTCATAATGTGCATTGCAAAGCATAATTAATGCATTAAAATACTTTTATAATGCAATAAATATAAAGGCTTTAAGTAAAGTTTTACTAAAGTCGTTTTTTGCAGTGTAACCAAAAACTAAATGAAGAAAGGCATTACTGATGCAGTAAAAGCTGTCCGTCGCGAGCACTCGAGCTTGTGTGAGAGCCGTTCACGGAGAACGTTTGCTCATTACTTCAAAACCTCTCGCTATCCTCCAGAAGAGCTGATGCTCAGCACACAGCACAGTGTTCATGTTTCCTCACTAAACTAAAAGGCGTAAAATAATGCTCCCTCGTCTCCTCTCGCGAGCTGTGAAGTATGATTCTGGCTAACAGGTTCTTCAGGAGGTGATGAAACACAGATCAGCTGGAGTCCTTCTGCTGCTTCATGCATATTCATGAGTTACTCAGTGCTATAAAAAACATTACATCGCCGCTCTATATTCATCATCCGCGGAGCACAGAATGTGTTTCATAAAAGCGCCGCGTGTGTTCTGTGAGCTTACGAATAAATACTTACGAATAAACATCGTTATCCACCACGATTCCCTCCGTCAGGTTCGGCCACGTGGTCGCGAGATGCAGCTCGCTGAAAGAGATGCGATTCACTAACCATTCTTTCATCAGTCAGCAAGAAATCAATTCATGTTTATGCTTGTAACGTCCGAGCTGAATGACTGTTTTCAGTGCTTCATTTAGAAACTTCTAACTTCATTTCAAACTACAGCTTTCATCAAGTGTTTTGACACCGTCTGCATCTGAATGCATGCATCTGTCAGCCAGATGAAAACGTTTGCATTGGCAACGAGCTGAAATTGTGTTGTTATTAATGTGGCTAGCTGTAATAAAGCAGCTGAGGCGTGACCTTCACCTGATGGGATCTTCACACGCTCCGAACGGAAGTTTGCCGAACTCCACACCACCCACCTCTCCAGCGAGGAGCGCATCGAAGTCTGAAACCACACACAGCTCTCGTGTGACATCAACTCTGATCAAAGTCATATAGAGTGGAGAAACTAATCAACTCCGGATACACCTGGAATATCATCATCTGCCTGTGTAAACAGCTTCAGCGCTGCTTAATACACTGATATCCACAGAGCTGTTCTGATCCGGATCCATGGAAACAGAGAAAGTGTATCAAATAAGCACTTGCACACTCGCCGGGAAGCAGACTAGACTGTAATAATGTGAGGGACGCAGGGAAACAAAGGCCTTTGATGCACGCAGAAAACTGATTCCACTCATTCAGGCTTGATGAAGGTCAGTTTAAGACTTCAAGAGCATGCAAAGAAAATTAAGACACAAGACATTCATAATCTCCGCATGTAGATGTCTGAGGAGAACACAGTGAGATTCACTAGCAACATTTTAAAGCTTAAAAACACAACAAGATCTTTTTACCTTTTTAACACCTTGAATTCATTTTACAAAAGAAATAGCTTAAGGACTGAATAGCTCTGCTCAACTTAATTCAAAGGGAGAATGTGTTTTCATGCCCCACTGGCAGATACTGTACGCCTGAGGATGAGTGTTTGGGACACACCTGGCGGCTGCTGTGGCCACGAGCACTGCTGCCAGTCCTGCAGGACGAAGGTGAAGCGGATGGAGATGCTGATGGGCGGCAGCGGCGTCAGCGGGCAGCTCTGAGACCAATCACAGCAAACACACCCATCACATTACACTTCAACTGAAAACAGAACCAGTACTTTTCAAACGCAGCTTTCTACGGCAAATTCGTGCATTTAATCAACATCAAATAAAGCTGTAAATGCTTTCGAGGTTTGATTCGGTTCAAAAATTACAATGAAGTCGTTTGCACTCAACTAGTTAAACCAGCAGACGCTCACTAGTCCTGATAGAACGATCTTCAGTATAGGTCATATTTTCAGCGCGTCTTTAAATCTTCAAAACAACTAGTGAAAAAGGGCATTTATTAATTATTATATGTTAATTGTATTTCGCCAGACTAGAAAGTTAAGGATGACTTAAGGATGTTCAGATGGGAACGAGATAATAATGTACTCATGTTTGGCAGTGCGTGCAGCATGTAATGCAATGACTTCATGAATTTAAGACTTTCTGCTCTGATTTAAGACCTTTTTAAGGCCTTCATTTGTGGACGAGTGAATGGAGACTCTTCAAGTCACAGAAACTTTACATAAAATAATTGGACTGAAGGAAGACACTGGAGATTATTGACAAGTGGTTTAATCTCCAAAATGAAGGAAACGTCTGATATAATCTGCACATTTGACTATTCAAAATATCATTAAATGCTGGAGGGAAGCGGCATCTTCAGACTGCAGCACAGAATCTCCTCTGACGCCCTTCTGCTTATTCCTACAGTAAAGCGTCCCTCAATCAGACGCGAGCTGATCTGATCTGAACTCACCATCTTGTTCTTGAAGATGTCCAGCAGGCCGGAGAGGTGTGTGTACTGACCAGGAGCTTTACGCAGGTGCACCATCTCGAAGTCTGTCTGGACCCCGGGCCCCTGACACTCACCCGCGTACATCTTCCTCCACTTCTGCTGGATCTGCACGAACAGCGGCACCAGGCTGAAACACAGAGACGATGAGACTGAGCACGCACGCACACAAACACACACACACACACACACACACACACACACTCAAACACACTCACACACACACTCAAACACACTCACACACACACACACTTACTCTCACACACACTCACACACACTCAAACACACACACACACACACACACACACACACACACGAATGTGTCCAGGACACACTGCTCGACAGCGCCACCCGGAGGCAGAACACCAGAGCACTGAATGAAACACAGCATGACACGGAAATTTCATTTAGAAAGAAAACATTTGTTTTCATTCAATCACACAGAGCATCTCTCAGTACCCATAATTCACATCACTGTATGAATAACTGCAGCACAGCAACAAACACTTCACACGACGCTGACAGATTAATAAACACCCGTCTATCCCATAATGCTCCAGTGATCCATAGCAACAGATGTGCATAGCGATGTTTGTGATATGCCTGTCCATGCAGAAACACAGGCTCTCGATCTCTCCTCACAAACCAGTATTAAAACACAGATGCTTGCTGTCAATACTTCATTAAGACACTCATAATTAACAATGCATCCGGTACAAAACACAACTAATTATTACAAATCAAATTAGAGGCTTTACACGGCACAATAATAGAAATAAAAATGATGAGATGTGAGATTTTCTGTTTGTTTAAGGTTCAGCGGGTGAAAATGCTGCGTCTGATCACTTAATAAAGCAACAACACACATGATGTGAGGAATCATTTCACTCTGAAACGTCGACACCGAACTGAATAATGACTCTGCTGTCTTCTGTAGAGCTGCTTCACATTTATTTGTTTGATAATTGATTAATTTTAACATTAACACTGTTATTTTCCTGTTTATTACTGTGAAGCTGCTTTGAAATCATCTGTATTGTTTAAAACACTGTGTATACAACACCGGTCAAAAGTTGTAATAATTTCGATTTTTAATGTTTCTGAAAGAGTCTCTTCTGCTCAGCAAGGCTGCATTTATTTAAAAAAAAATACAGTAAAAATTGTGAAATAATATTACAGTTTAAAACAGCTGTTTTCTATGTGAATATTTGTAATTTATTTCTGTGATGCGCAGCTGTATTTTCAGCATCATTACTCCAGTCTTCAGTGTCACATG